GGTGGCTCGGCTAAGGCCGAGCCACCTTGAGGTGGCTCGGCTTTTGGCCGAGCCCCCGCGGGTGTTTGACTTTTGTCGTTTTGCGTTGTCTCGTTTGTCCGTGTTTCGGTTGACTTGAGACTCTGATTTGATGATCTGATTTGGCAGTAAGTCAGATTCCTGATTTGGCAGTAAATCCGCTTCTGAGTTCGAGTCCGAAACTGATCTTGATTCGATCGCGATTCGTCCGAGTCTGTTCTCGGTTGGATGACTCGTTGATTCCTTAACACTTGGCTTGATTCCGAACGCGTATGGATGCATTCCGTCGCTTCTGTGCGATTCGTCGATCTTGTCGCCTCGTTGGTTCGTCGGTTTGTGCCGAGCTATGCTAGGGGACCTATAAGCAATTTTATATGCCTACACCTAAGAATACCCATGTGGTATTCTTCCGGGAACTTCCCGGTGCATTGGTTATCCCGAAGATACTAAGGATAGTATTTTTTCAGGAACTTGCCGTTTATCTGTATCATAAGCCGGTCACCGTCCTTGGTGACAAGGCGATATGCGCCACTCGAGTAGACTGCCTCCACTACGAATGGTCCCTCCCATTTGGGTTCAAATTTGCTGAGAATCATCAAAACTTCAAGAGACTGATTCAATAAGCAATTGATATCGGGTTATCCTTAAGAATATCACGTATGATGTTCTCCAGGAACTTCCCGTTAGATACAAAGGAAACAGTTTATACTCATATACCTGTTGGAGTTTTGAAAGAAGCAGTTTATACTCGTATACTTGTCGGAGTGTGGTGGTCATTCTCATTCGGTTTGTTCTGCCGTTGAGACGCCGGCTTCAACTAAGGCCTGTATTGTATTCTTGAGAGTGATACAAGTCTTGGTGGGATGATGGATCCTCCTGTGGTATTCACAATATTTTGGGTCTAAACTCCCGCTGGCTTCCTCCTGGCTTTTAATAGGTGGGAGCTTGATTTTGTCGATCCTTAGGAGGTACTTGAGGATGGCTGGAACCTCATCATCCTTGAAAGAGTATCGTTGTATCTGAAGTGACTGTTGCGGTGGTCGCTCCCACGGCTGTCGTTGTGACGTTTGATCAGCAGCGAACCTGGGTACGAACTCTGATTGGCTTTCCTCGACCCTCTTTCTTTTAGGATAGCGTCTAGTCGAGGTGGTGACAGACTCGACTTCCTTCTGCTTTTCGTCTTCACTTTCATGATGTCGAGAAGTAGGAATTGGGCCACCCCCAGTGTTATTGAAGGATCTGGTCGTACCACCCCCAGTGTTATCGAGGGGTGAATCAGTCTTGACAACCATATTCAAATTTGGACCATTGTTATTTGTCCTATCCAGAATAGGCGTGATCGGGGTAACGCAACAGCTAGATCCAGCTTGATGATCCGATTTAGGAAATTTACACCTTTTAGCTTGCAACTCTCTTATTTGTCGCATAGCCAATTCCATCTTACCCTCAAATTCTTCTTTCTGCTTGATTAATGCTTCTTGAACTATTTGAGTGAGCTGGTCAGGAGTAATGTTGAACGCATCCCTAGTGTTTTTAGAGAGACGTGATAACTCGTGTAGAGTCACTTTTACTGGGATGTTAGCCAATTGGGTCATAACATCAAAGTGATATGAAATATTTGAATCTCCTGGTTTATCTCTTCCAATCTGCCCAGTTCTGTCAATGTCTTGGAAGGAGCGGTTTTGGTACCTAATTGCTCGGAAGCATCCGGGTACTTGTAGTGATACTCATTCCCACTCCGGGTTACAAAGGTCTCCTGTTCATCTTCAGAAAGCGGGAAGGCGGGAATTTCTTCGTCATCTTCTCCTGGAATAGCAGAAGCTCCATAACAAGACTTACCTTTTCCTTTTGACTTTTTCTTGGATGAGGATCCAGTCCATTGTTCATCTCCGATCAAATCTGGATGAACCCAAAGAATCTCACCATTAGGGGCTGTGTGTGGCACAAGTCCTTTCTGGCGCTGCTTGTGAGGATCATCGTTCACTGTCTTTACTGCTGCATTTATTACTGGTTCATGCTGGAACCAGTTTAAGGGAACAGAACCGAAGCTAATTGATACCGCATTTGCTCCCACTCTCTTCTCCTTCGACTGCTTCATTGTGATGACCCCGACATCGATTAGAGCTTGGATCTTGTCCTTAAGGGCATAGCACACCTTGGTAGGATGGTGCACCGCTCTATGGAATGCGCAGTATTTTGAATCATTGATTCTCTTGGCATCTTTCTGATCCTGGATTGGAGGCAATTTGATCTTGTTATTCTCAATGAGGTACTTGAAGATACCGGGAACTTCATCCTCTTTGAATGAATAAACTTTTGGGAACTTCGGCTCCGAGGCTTTTGGCTTCTGGGTCTGCTGTTGCCACCTTGATTGTTGAGGCGCCTTTTGCTGCTGCTGTTGCGGTTGCGCTTGCACTTCGAACGTTTGATTCGCATCCACGGCATTTGCATGTGCTTTTCCTTTACCCCTTGGGACAAAATTTGGTTGCGGAGCACTATTTGCTATTTGACCCCTTTCCGCCTTCTTCCTTTTAAGGAATCGTTCGGCTCGTTCTCCTCGCACCTTCAGATCCTTCCAGGTCTTCGGCGGTGCCATTCCCATGGCTTCCAGGATGTCCAATGAAAGATTGTTATGACAGGTCTCGAGGATGAAATCTTCGCTGACCGGATCCCTACAATTCATTTTTCGACCGTCTCACCATTCTTCTGCTTCTCATCGAATAGTGTACCGATTGAGATTTCGGTGTCGTCATCGAAGAAGTTTGTCAGAAACATATCTTCCATGTCGTCCCAACTGCTGATACTCCCGGGCTTGAGACGGCGATACCAGTCGAAGGCTGCTCCGCGAAGAGTGCCGACGAATGACCGCACCATAAGAGGTTCATTCCCAGAAATGATTCCTAGATGAGACTTAAAATATATTAAGTGTTGGGTAGGGGAACCCTTTCCATCAAACGGCGTAAAGTTGATTAAATTGAACTTTGCCGGATATGGAATTGATTCCCACTCCCTTGGGTATGGACATGGTATGCCGGACCTTTTCACTTCTTGAGCATTCATCAACGCATTGATTTTGCTCTCCAAGTCCTTCATCTTCCTGTCTTCACTCGTTACTATCTTCGAGTGGCTTTGGGGAGAGGTAACGTGGTCCTCTTTTGTATTATCATCTACAGGACCACCTCCGTTGTCATTGTTGACAGGGGGAATAGTTATGTTGACATTATTCCCTTCCCATTCATTCTCATCTTGATTATGAGGATTGTGTCGAGTGGGTTCTCCTTGATGAGTTGTAAGAGCCGCGATTTGCTGGTCATGCATCTCTCTCATCTATTGCACGGCCATCTCCATCTCGAATTTGAAAGCTTCCTTCTGCTTAGCCAGGGCATCTTCAAGCATCTTGGTCACTTGTTCAGCGCTGACCATGAGTACCTCGCGGGGTTGTCCCTCGCTGGATACCGTGTTGTCGGATGCAATCGCAGAGCAGGCATCTGATCCTTCGTCTTCTGACGGTAATCTCGTCCGAACCCTACTATAAGTCCCTCGTGTAATGGTTCCAGACTGCAGACGAGTTAAATACCAGGGTACTAGCGGAGTTGACTCGGGATTATCCCCTGTCGATGCCCTTTTGCTGGCCATATTAGTGGTGACCTTCGGAAATTCTCCGTCTTCGACTATCCTTCTTCTTCGTCGGAAACGCCTAGGCTTAGTCTCAGATGGAAATTCTTTCGAACACCGAAACTCTCCTTGGGGCTTTAGAACAACAGCATTCCGACAATACCGCTTTGATGATGTTGGCACACGGACAGTGAGAATCTGTATCTCTGGCGTGTCTCTTTCGAGACTTATCCATACCCGCAGCTCTATAGTACAACTCATCAGTTTGATAACTGGAGCAACCCATAGAGTGTTGGCATGACTTCCCAGGTATAACACAATCATCATCAGACGAATGTGTTTCCCTCTGGGGATATGACGCTTTATTAGTGTTTTCAGAAGTCACTCGTTCAAGTCTACGCTTTTGCGAGCGTAAAAACTTAACGGGCTCTTGAACTTCGACACGCAACCCAATGCGGTCGGCAATAGGGGTTTTCCCTTAGTTATCTTCCTTGGGGGGATTAGTACGACCCCCAGTCAAGTTTATCATTTGGGGACCTTTCAACGGACCCAATCGCTCCTTGACAGGTGCTTTACCTCGGTTCCTGGGTAAAGGACTGAGGCGACCTTTCAAAGGAACCCTGGACCTTGAAGGATCCGTGTTCTTACCTGACTCCGCCGGAGGTGCAGGGGCAAGGGGAACGAGATCTGGATTTGATGAAGGTTGGACAGCAACATCGTCCGCTCTTGTCTTAGGCGCTGGCTTTGCCTTTAGCACCCATACCTGTTTGAGTTTTGACGGATTCTTGACCGCCTCTTCTTTCTGCATCTCCTCCTCTTTCTGCAGTAGAGCTCGGGCATGCGCAAGCAATGCACGGCGCTTCTTGATTCGCTCTTCGAGGGTTGAGCGAGTCCTCATGACACGAACCCAATCGTTCGTTTCTGCCTTGGAGAAGGAGTTGGTTATGTGCCGTTGTTGCTCTTGGCGCTGTCTGGACTTGAGATCTTCATTGTAGCGGATCCCGTCCATCGGCTCCAAAGCCTTGGCCAACTGACGAGCAAGGCGTTGGCGCCGTCATTGGCGCGTCCTCTTTGACACAGCTGGAGCACCTTCATTAGCCATCTCTTTGGCGGAGGAGAAGTCCAGATCTGCGGTCTCGACCACGTTGGACGACGCGGGGACGTCACGTGGTGCGAGTGCAGCGGCGGCAATGGGATCTTGGATCTTCGAGCCGACGGTCCCGCGAACATTTCTGGAAGAGGATGCCTTCCTGCGCCTGTTCGGAGAGGCGGATCTGGAGGAGGAAGAGAGGTACTCTTCAAACTTTTGCTGATCGAACTCGTATTCAATCTCTTCATTCACCCGGATCTTGAATGTCGGTTGCGTCACGACGGCCTCGGCAGCAAGGCCGTTGGCTCCCACTGTGGTCGCCAGCTTATTTGCGTCGAAAATTGTTGTATTCATTGCTGTATTCATTACAACTTTAGTCGTTACAATGAAATTAAAAAGAACTCTTACACAATGAAAACAAAAAAAAAAGGTTACAACTCTCGTTCAAACAAACGCAGAGATCGTTTATCGGTCTTCTGCTTGCGTGGGTCTTTTGCCTGTGACGGGGACGTTGATATCCGTGGACTACCTGGCACTCGGATCTGTTTCCGAAAAATCGGACAGAGCTTCGTCGATCCGCGTGAGATCTAGAAGCCTGAAGCGTCTATCTCGGCTAAAACGAGATATCTGCTCTTCTTAGTGATTACCGGCGAAGGGTAATACTAAGGAAAGGGGGGACGGGTGATGAAGACTCTGATGAAGACCACTCCTCTGTTGAAGCGCTCGACTACTCTTCACTGCAGCAGGGCTTCGCCAACTTTTCCAAAAATCCAGATCTTCAAAAATGAGGCCTTAGGGGGCTATTTATAGGCAATGGGAGCACATAGGGTGCCTAGACACCCCTGGGATGTCTAGGAAAAGCCTAGACACCCCTGGGTGTCTCGGCGAGTGTGTAGGGGGGGTCTAGGGGGCCGAGACACCCCTGGGGTGTCTAGGCTTTTCCTAGACACCCCTGGGGTGTTTCGACTTTCCCGAGACACCC